AAAAAAAAAAGAAAAGAGGGAGAGAGAGAACAAAAACACATCCTTTGGAGAGGACATGTCCTCGTGTTCTCGTAGCGAGGTGTCTACCATCTCTCGGCTTCCTCCGAAATCGGTAGCTCGATCGAAAAGAGAAAGCGAACGGAACGGCCACGCGGGCAAGATAAGAGCTCACCGACTAGAGCGTTTGACGCGGCTCGCCTAATTGCGATCTCTCGATCGCTGTCGTTGCCAAACAAGGAAGTCGCCGCTGTCTTATTGGCTGCCAATGCCTCGGTCTGACCCTTCGATACGTGCTCCTACAACACCCATGCGCTTTACATCGCTCCGGCTGAATAAATCCGCGACAGTTTCACGCACGAAACGACAAATGGCGCGATATTGCAAATTAATCGAGTTCGCTGACATTGCATTTGTCATAATACTTTTCTAAATTGCATTAAAATATTAAAATTGCGTCAAATCGAGTTTTTATGTTCAAATTTAAAATTTATAAAAGTATGAGAAAGATAATAAATATTATATCTCAAATATAATATTATTTAATTAATATATGTCTTATTTAAGTTAAAGCACTCTGTTAATTTTTTAGTCAACACTTCACTACGACTTATATACATAAGTTAAATTATTTTAATTTTTAATTTTATAAATGTATAAGTTTTTTATAATGAATCTCTCTCTTTGCAATTTCGTATCGAGACAAGTATTGCGTATCGCGGGTACGTCATTATTGCACTATTACTTGGTAATGTAATTGTCGATATCAGGATAACAAAAGCGTGTCAATAATTAATCGCTATCAAGGCGGAGATTAATCAATTTTGTTAATACGTGGCAAACACGTGGCTCGTCCAAGCATTAAGTTACAGCTCTGTAACCCATAGCCCGAGTCTCCTCTCGCCTCCGCAATTGTCGGTTCTCTCTCGTATTAATTAACTCTATTGAGATCCCACTTAAGATATCATTGTCTCGCGCGCGCGGAGTTTACGTTTCAACGAAAAACAAGACAGACCAGTTAAAAAGCCGCCAACGTTGTTTCCACGGGATCCGGATAATCGGCAAGATTACCTTTGGTAATTTCACAACGTGAGCTCAGTTTTTGCTCAAAATGAAGTAAGTACGTTCCTTCATTCTTTACGTTCCTTCTTTACATATAAAAAGAGATTATCGCGTCGTAATTTACATGGAAGCATCGAGCTATAATAATGAAAAATAAAATGAAATTACGTTCTATACTTCGTGCTAATTTTTTATTAAATTAAAATAAAAGGATAAAGACAAGATTTATAAATTTTTCTTAAGAATTTAATAAAATATATAATTATATACTCTATATCTCTTCAGCTATATATCCAATTGAATATTGCAGCTAATAGGCATTAATATTTGCACGTCAAAAAGTTAAAATTTTAAAAAGTGCATCGATGAATTATACTTTTAACCCGAAGTGAGAATGCGACGATATAACATTAAATGATGAACGAATCGATCAAGAATAATCGCGGCATAGTTCGCGGCCATCCGTTCTCTCTTTTGCCGCGAGAACGAGGTGCTGAGCGTTTCCAATAAATCGATGAATGTTCGTCAAACCGGACATCAAGAGTCAATCGATTATCATCGCGAAGCATGCAGCCGCACTTGCGGCTGATTTAAACGAGCCCGGTGAGAAACAGGATCGCCCTGAATACCGTCTGTCACGGTCAATGATTCTGCGGCGATTTCCGTAATAGAGGCAAGAAGGCGAACAAACGATCCGCGCGCTGTCCATCAATCCTAAAACACGCGCCGCATCAGCGAGAACCTATAGAGGGAAGAGATCCCGATGATTGCGATCGCCTCCGACGATATATAATCACCAATCATCATAAAACAGAAGATCGACAAGATTGACCAGGAGAGATCGGCGGCGAGCGCCGGCAGTCGTCACGTTCGAAGGAAATAAACCGCCAAGGTGCGATAATATAATTATGATCCGGCTCTGGCGAAGTTTCCGTAAAGTCCATCAAGTAGACTATTTACGGTTAACATAAATTTAAGTAAGTGGCATCTTACAAACGGTAAATTTACGAATCATTTATCTTTTGACGCTAACATGTCCAGAATCTTGGATAATTTAGAATAATATATTCTAGTGTATATGCAGTTTCTCGTTCTCTCTCTTCTTTTCTTTTTATTTTTTTAAATAATAACAGCAATAATAAAAGCAATATTATTTTTTTTATTTTTTTATTTTTTTTTATTTGGTACAAGCAAGTATCTGGGTAAATTGTACGATTAAAAATAATTATTCGATATTATGTAAAATATCTAGGTTTTAAAATCACGTGAGCCTATCGAGGTGGAAAAAAGGAACGGTAAAAAAATTGAAAGATCTTTCGATGGTCGACACGGCAGTCTGAGACCCCGGATAAGGGGTTAACCGAGCGAGGCACAATTACGCTCGAACGCCGCGTGAAATCGCGCAGGTGTATACACTCGAGAGCACCTAATTAAAGGTTTAACGACGACGATGCCTACATTAGCACTCTCTCTAACCGATTACGATCATCGCGATTGAATTTTCGAAAGCCGGCGCGAAGCTTTGACGTCGATCGCGAAAAATCGCGGTTTTGCAAAATTGCTCCGGGTATAAAAAAAAAAAATATACGATAAGATTATATAATATACATTAAGATTTAATTCTTGTGAAGCTGTTTGATTAATCCTAGAAAACGGTACTCCCACACGATTCAGAATCAATCAGAATAATTATGACATTCGAGAAAATATGACCATTTTCAAGAGTATGATTGATAGTTATTGAATCTTATATTTATTAGATAATCATATGTTACATCTATTGAATAGATAGCTATCATTCTTGAGAAAAAGAATTTTATAGCCATTATTGAGAATTCACAAATTGAAAATTATTATAGTATCACGATTATATTTTGTTTTTTCAGATTACCTTATACATCGCAACTAATAATCTCATCGAAATCATACAGAAACTTGGCAAAAGAGAAAGCCACGAAAATGCCACGATAAATTACTATATTTCGTATTGTTTAATGTGATATTTCGTTAACGAGTAGTCTCGTAACATTTATGCCGACGTTAGACAGGTGCCAGCGATAAGGAGTGAATTTCATCTTCGTGCCGTGGCAATTGAAGACCACCCTGAAATAACGCGCCGGAACCAGCAACAAGCGGTTGATGACAGTCATCGCCGTTCATGATTATGCACTATTGTGTAAACGATCCACGCGCACAAGTAGCCAGAAATCTCACCTTGCTGTTCTAATATCAGTAAAGTACAACTAATTATTTTGCAAATTATTACTTCAATAAAACTGAATGCACAGTTGATGAAAATATCTATTTAATTAGATTTAAGATATACAATCTTGTAATAAAAATGTGCAAATAAAAATAGAAAAAAATAATTTAAAAAATTCATTTTATACAAAGTTTAAAATTAATTTCAAAATTATTGTCATAAATTGTCATTTTAATTTTCTACGCAAAATAATTTGAAAATTATCATTAGACACAGGCAGATGATAATCTTCCGAAATATGTATCCTATTGATGTATTATATAGGGTGTCCCCAATTTAAATGTCAAAACTTTAGGAGCGTGTAGGGGACCGATAAACTAAGACAAACAGTCCTTTAGAGATTTGCTCGTTTTTGCTTCGTTTTGAAGAAAATCGCAAAAAATGAAACAAATAATTTTCACCAAAAAACTTCAACCAACACTAAAATTATTAGATTTATCAAAAAGTATTATAAAATAAAAATTGTAGAACATGGAATTCAAAAAAGAGAATGAGTTAAAATCCTCCTGAGGTAAAATTAGATTAGAAACAAAATTTCGCGTTGTCGCGTATTTATCTACAACCCTCTAATTTTACCTCAGGAGGATTTTAACTCACTCTCTTTTCTTAATTCCATGTTCTACAATTTTTATTTTATAATACTTTTTGATAAATCTAATAATTTTAGTGTTGTTTTAAGTTTTTTAGTGAAAATTATTTGTTTCATTTTTTACGATTTTTTTCAAAACGAAGCAAAAACGAGCAAATCTCTAAAGGACTTTTTGTCTTAGTTTATCGGTCCTTTACACCCTCCTAAAGTTTTGACATTTAAATTGGGGACACCCTGTATAATGCGGATTATTTGTATTATATGAATAGTTGTAAATAATATAATGAAATAGTGTGTACAATAATTTGTAATTGTTCTTGCTCCGTAGGTGACATTATTTCCTCGTCGTGTTCCTAATCGTGCTATTGTATTGATGGTCGCGCGGTTACGGTGAGCGACTTGCGGCTTGAGAAAGCCGCGTAAATTCTGCGGGCTCGTAACGCGTTTGCCGTCGCAAACTAGGTGTGAATAACTGTATTTGAAAGTGCCGGCCGTATACTCTGTCGGTGTGCTCGCGTATACTATATACTCTAGCTGGCTGGACACTGTTGGTTGTGTAATTTCGGATGTGTCGCCGGATAGAAATCAGGTTACTTCCAGCCAGTGTCTCCTTTCAGTTAAACGATAAACTAGATGTTCTCAACCTTCTCCCGATCTAATTGTCTTAACCCTTTGATTTAATCTGTTGAAACGACATTACACATGCGTACATTCCCAGAAAGTTAATTTATAGTCATATGTAGTCATTTTACTCGATTTTATTTCATACTAAATATGCGTCATTTTCAGATAATTACTACGAGTAAAGATCAAGATTAGACCATTCACGCCATAATCAAATTTAAATATGTTTACTGGAAGTCGTTCTCTCTCTCTCAAACGAGTCGCGCTGAAAACGCGATACAACCACGAAGTCTCGGTTCAGAAAGTCTCGGTTTAACGACATTCGAGGACAGGGACTCTCTTTGAGGATGTTGTAAATTTATAGCGGCGCGACGAGACAGATGAAAAGGACCTCGAGAATTAATTGAGGCACATTGTTAGAATAAAGATTCTTCCGTGAGAAAAACATACGGCGTTTCCTCCGCTTCTAAATGATAACACAAAGGACAATTTGCAAATTTATCAATTAAAATCTACTCGTTTTTGTAGCCAGAAATTACTGCTCGGGATGTATGCTACCGAATATCTCGTGGCTCGAAAAATGCTCTGTGAAAATAACTTACTGGCATTCTGTAGTAGACCGGCGGTCGGTCGTATCTTTTCAGGTATATCATCATCGTCCACGCAGCAGCTCCATATTAAACCTCCGGAACAAAGGTCGACAGGTCGACCGCCGCCTAAAACGCAGCTAATACTAAGGCCGCACTCGAATTTCGTGCCTTTATACTTGCACGTCTGCGGTATCACTGAAACAGATTGTTGGATTTCACGTATAAACGTCAATATCTCTATGATGGATCGTTTTGATATTGATGGAGATAAACGGTTTTAATATTAATAGGCAGAAGATTTTGCCAAGGAAAAAGATCTAGTTACAAATTTTTTTTTCAATAATATGGAAAAATAGCAGATTGTGAAAATCTGTCACGATATCGACGTGTTTATTCAATAAAAGATATTCGATATTAAATTTTATAAAATCTTGAAAGCATCATATATAAGACGATGAATCACTTTTTGCTAATTTTGTATAATTTTATATATTCCGTTTATATGATTTTATTTTGATTTATCTATATTTTATTTTTATTCTTATTTTATATCTCTCTTTATATTTTTTTGATATGCAGTTTGTAAAGTTCACTCTCAAGATCGATATATGTTATTCGATTGAAAGCACTTTTAATCCTTTCGATAATACCGGCAGCAACAATATTTCCGTTCCATTTTTCAATCTTACAAACATACTTCTGCCCAGCATATCCATAAGGCCGCTCTGGAGATTGGAACCGTGCCCTCGATGATCATTGGTGTGATTTCGCTTCTTCCTGAGCGTTTCCACCAGCAGAACACCTTGCTGCTGACTGGTGAGTTTCCTTCTTCTGCCCTGGCGATGTCCGTTCAACAGTTCTTCGAGTTCTCCATTCAATTTCTTCTGTCTAATTTCGTCCAGAAATTCCTGAACGTTAGTTTCTTCCTCCACCTCGTCTTGCGGGTCTTTCTGGAATACATCCTGCCCGCTCCAATCTTTTTCCTCCTCCTCCTCTTTCGCGTTATGATCCAGGAAATCTTGTTGAACGTCCTTGGAGAACACTGTATTCTGCGGATATTCCGCATTCTCCAATATGACGTCGGCGGTCTCGTCACTGCCGTACGGAAAATTCGAAAAGTACTGATACTTTTCGACCTTACCCAAGGATGGTCTGTCGATCACGTTCTTCAGAGTGCTCTCAATGGCTCGATTTTCGCGCGTCAAATCCTGTCTCGTCCTGACGGTACCGAGATTCCAGAGATCCTGCTGCTCGTCCTCGGCAACCGCGAATCTTCTCGGTGAATTTTGTAGAACGTCGCCCTTAAACGAATTCGACGATCTCGATCTATGAGTCGAATGTATACTAGATCGCTGCGGACGAGCTTCTTTAACCTTAATTGATGAAACCGGTCGGCTCGTGGCCGCGACCTTGATGTCCTCTCTGCGTTTCCACGAGTAGTTGTCATGATGATCGAGAGCGAGGGCTACGGTGATCAGAAGCATCCCGAGCACGATATTCATGGTCATGGACTTTTGTTTATTATTTCGTGGATACCTTGTACGTCATCGCGGTCTCACTGCACATGAGAAAAATCAAAAGAAACGCACCATGATAAGGATAACTCACGAATGGTTCATCTCTTTGAACCATTGACGAAGATTGACGAAGATGAGTAGAGATTTTAAGACTCGAGTTTCTCCGAAATTACTTGAGGAGAAACTTGATTTAGTTGGAAGCTGTAAAATCCCTTATGAGGTTTGACTAGTTTAAATTTCACTGGCATAAACGTTTAAGGAATTAAGTGGTTTGCCTACAATTTCTTTGGCTCGTCAGCTTCTTGTTTTTCTTTCTTTTACGAATAATAATTTCCACCTTCTGTTCGATGATTAATTAATTAATTAATATTGATATCTTTAAAAAAACTTAAATTTCGAGTACACTTAGTACGATTTAATTATCAATTAAGTCTGAATTATAAATTTTTTATGACGGTCTTATACAATAACAGATTTGATTCACGTTCTATTTTTTCTCACAAATTTCTAGCTTCATCGAAGTCTCCGGCGAGATATGCAATACCTCGGACGATCCTTACGATCCAATGTAAATTTTCCGCCATTTTGATATCACTGATTCTTCTCGGAATAACTTCGAGTGCGTTGAAAATTTTTCTATAAGCCTCAAGACGATAATCGACGGAATCTCTTTTTTTTTCAAAGATCGGGTAATGCGTATGTACGATCGAGAAACCAGTTCAAAGGTCTCAGAGATTCTTCATGACACTTCACCGAGAAGGTGACGGAGAAGCCGTGACAATGCACGCCTTCTGCACGTGGACTAGCTCAAGCCGATGTCCCACGAGTCTCGATTCGGATCTAAGGAGGCGTCCGCTGCTTTCACCGGCATCAGCTTTCCCGCAACGGCGGCGGCAGTGTCGTCCGTTGGTTCCCCACCTTGTCCGAACGCATCGCGGTGCGTCTTATTTTCCATTTCTTTCTTCGCTGAATTATTTTGCCGCGACGCGGGATTGTCGTACTCTGAATAGCGGGAAAACTTCATCAAGATTTGGGCCACAATCGCTTTGCGAGGGTGAAAAACCGGGATGGACATTGTCATCTCTTTGATAAATCCGTTGTCAAATTGTTTAAGCTATTTTGTGTTCTGTTATTATTACTGATATATTTTTTGATTACTGTCAAAATATGGTAAAGAGATTACGTCTTAAAAAATTACATACTATTTAATGTATTTTCCATTAGTTTTATTTTTTTTATTAGAATTTAACGATATTGTAAACGATGTGTCATATTTTAAAAATTCAATAACATTTATTGTTTGATATTATTAATCTTATTGTTAGCAAAGAATTAACAAAAATTCAGAAGTCGCGAAATAATTTTTCGTAAATAATAAAAAAACATGGACTTTTATTATAAATAAAGAAGAATTTTTTTTCGAGAAATCACACGATTTCGATTGGTTAAAATGATTATTTACATCGCATTTGACACACTGAGATATCGCGACCCAATTTCATCGCATGGTTTCACTGAAAGTATTTTTACCTTTGAGAGTAAATTAACGTAGAACATTAACACACAGAGAATATATTTATTTTACTACTACACTACTATACTACTTATTAAGTTCAATTAAGAAAGAGTAAGATCAAAAGAATAATACCAGATAGTATTTGCATTAATACAATCAACTACCATTTAGCAGAAATTAATTACACTAAACGCTTAAACCATACTACTTAAACCATGAAATTTCGTCGTTAATTGAATTAATTAAAATTTCAGCAACTGTTGTGAGAGAAGTAATTTAGTGAACACTGTATTTTATTTTTAGTAAAAAGAAATATGTAAATCTAGTAAAACGCGCTTTTAACGACAGAGACGAGATCCACTGAGGTCGCAGTGAAAACGGAGAGCTTCCGTGCGCTTCATTATAAATATTCTTGTAGAAAGTAAGCGTCAGTAAGTGGCCTCTCAAGTACGATTCCGATTTCGTCTCCCTTGTTAACTCAACTGTGAATCTTTCTCGTGCTCTCCTCACGTTTACGGTAGAAAATATTACTCGCAATCTCTTTTCGTGAGAAATGTCAGATGATTGCGGTGCCAAAAAAAAAATACTATTCAAAGAAAATCTTTCTCTTCAATTTTTTTCTCAATTCTTCTAATATATACCTATATTCTTCTAATATATTGTTTTGCACGTAATAATAAATATTTGCTAATTTTACATAATTCCCTTGGATTGATTTATTTATTATATATATAATAAACGATATGACGTGTTTTTCATTTTGAGGTAATTTGATTATAACATTTTATAAGCAGTTGCATTATCTTGCATGCAAAACATTGAACTGCTTATAAAATGAAGATATAGGTCATTGTCTTAGTTTATAAATATGCATATCCGGTGAACGTCAACCGGTTTGCCATCTTAAAATCTTTCCAATACGTATCAGCTCTCTTTATTACTCGGAGATACGAGTAAATGCATTGAATTATCATTTTCACGTTACTCTCACAATTATTAATCAAAATTAATTTTAAGGAAGAGAGATAATCAAGTATTATATATTGTTCTCCATTTTGATTGTAGATATGTTATACATGATAATCAATAGTTCTTGAGTTGAACCATTGTATTTAAATCGTGCTTAAACATTGCGATAATGAAACGTGTCAAAGGTGGCATGAGCCCCGTCCATTGTTCAATTAATGATTCAGGAAAAGAAATTCATTTATTATTCAAAGTAATGTACGAGTGGCCTTTCTCTTTCGAAACAATCCTTAAAATTCATTTTATAACGCTTACTTGCCGTTACACTCACGGTAACGTAATTTAAACAGCCAAGATCTCGTAGTGGCATACTTGAAGCAATAATAACACGTTACTAAATATAAAATATAACGTTATTAAATATAATAATGTTATACTTACATCCAAGTTCATCGAAGAATCTTATTTGTCCATGTGAATTGATTGCATTTTCGAGATTTTCCACTTTTTCCAACTGATCTAAAAAAAAAAAATACATTTAGGTCAGTAAATCATTTATAAAATTGTAATTCATTTGTAAATCTTTACTATACAACTAAAAATAAAGCACAGATCTATTTACCAAAGTTCTTCAGGAATCGATTGTTTTTTCTATTATTAGCGAGACAGCAAATATTAGCGATTAGAAATAGCGTGATAAGCACTCCAGTTTTGAGAGCAATCATTTCTCTCCTCGGCCGTCAACGATGAATATGCGATCCACTGTCATTCGCCAATTATGTTCGATGGTTTTTGATCCGGCGCCGGATCATTTTGTCGCCTCCACCTCGATTTCACCTTGAAATCAGAATTTTCCGGCGCGCTGTCTATCTCATGTCGTCGCTGCTCTATTAAAAGCGCAAAAAAAATACTCAAATGAAAAAGAGCATCGTGCCTTTTTACAAGTTTTTTTACGCAGCGCGACCCGCTCGTTACAATCGGGTGAAATAAAATTTGTTTTACAATCGCGCAAGCGTTCCGTTTAATCGAACGGCCACGAGTTCAAAGGGAACTCAATAATACTCGGTGGATCTCGATGGAAAGTGGTAATTGCTAACCGGAACCGTGAAAAATCCACCTCGTAAAACATGACCAGATTTTGGGAGGGAGTTTGTTCGTAAATTTTTTTTTAATGCAATGATTTTGATGGCTGTGCTTCGTATTACATAATGCTTTTTTTTTATTTTATTATTTTTGAGAGACTTATAAAATTTATAAAATTAAATTATTAGATTATTATAGATTGTAAAATTTATATGAGTCTACTAATGTGTTTGATATTTAAGTCCGATCATCTTATTCTCGATCGTCTTGTACGAAGATCATGTACTGTGTTATCTCGAGATGAGAATCAGACAATTGTTTCACGCGAAAGGATTAAAAAGGAACATAATGACTTGTCCAGAATTTCTTAATTGTGTCATTCCTTAACGCAGAATTTCTTTACTAAACTATATATTTACCGTATTTTATTTTACATGCCTTAAAATTAGTAATATATAAATTTCATTTTTGTTTATATTTTGGAATTGTGCGATCACGCATCAGTTGCATGTATTGATCAAATAAGATATGTAGATTACGCGTGAACACGTTTCTAGCGTCACAAATACGACGTTCAAAAAATTAACGACGATGACAACGGACTCGCTCATCTCCGGTTTCCCTGTCGATGTTGGCACCCGGGGACACCTTCGTCCATATCTTCGGTCCGTTTCTCAACAGCATATCGTAAACGCGAGTTCACCTTAGCGTGTCCAAGACGTTCACGTACAGTCCGACACAAAAGTGGGACACGAAACCAGGCCACCGAGACAAGTGGCACGCCTTTTAGTGCTTCGTAATGTTCAGTCTACATGCGGAACCGGGCGCGCGCGAGCGCGGTGCTGTACCCCCCTCCCCCCCTCTTCCTTCTTGGGGTTATTAGTGAAAGTTAGCCGGTAACTTTCGACTTTGACAACGACGGCGATTCGCCATGGTGAACGCATCCGTAGTGTCCCCGGCGCACTAGATTACGTTTAAGAGCATCATTTTAGAAAAGTATCTTTTAATCCTTTTTATGCGAATAATAAAAAGTATTTAATTATTACGGGTATTTGAAATCTATAAATAAATATAAATATGTGACGTATATATTTATTTTATTAATTTAATAATTCTAGTTTTTTAATATTAATTAAATTCGTTATAGTCAAAAGTGTCATACTTGTAAAAAAAAATGTTTTATTTCATGGAAATATAACAGAAATTATGCTCGTAAAATAATAAATGTTTTGCGTAATACTGGTTAAAAAAGCTTGCTCCAATTTCGATAAAGAATTTCGACTAATTCGCTTAAATGATACCCGACGAAATTGAAAACGAAGGAAAGAGGGAAATATCACTTTCAACCATCATGCCGTGAGTTCCGAGTTAAAACTCGTACATGGGCTCGCTATTGTTTTTGACCGCTCGACTTTCTTCATGCTCTTTTCTTACCTAGTAAATAAAAAAGACCATTAATACCCGATTAATTAACGCACACTATGCCCAATAAAAGAGTCTGCTCTTGTATTTAAGAGAGAGAGAGAGAGAGAGAAAATATTTTTTATATCTTGTTAGAAAACACATTATTTAAATAATTCAAGAGCGCACGGATTTTCTACAAATTTTTGATCAAAGACTCGAACCGCGACTTAAATATGCGAAAAGAGAAAAGATACAGCGAAGCACGTGGGGA